GTTTCCTATATATTGCATAAATAATGGATTTTCCCTATGAAATATTTATTATTCACTATTTGTACTAATTAAATTTTCACTAATTTAATTAGTTATAGCCAATTAATTATTAATTAACCTTAAAATAAAATGTTTATAGGCTACATGCGATTATCTCCGATCTAATTAAAATGGCCTATTGGATTATCCACCCTGTTTTTTCACCGTTTCTCTAGGCAAAATTTTCTTCCCCAAGCAAGTAGTGCCAATTTTTTTCTCTATTTCTTTAGGGAGGAAGAAAAACACCTCTCGATTCTCATTCCCCCACGAACACGATATCTGACGTGTGAAAAAGACGAATTGGTATTCCGGGTTAATTAGTACAAGTCAGTTTCACGCTTCGTTGAGAATCCGCTCGTTTTACTTTGTACCGTTATTTAGTTGCATAGTGACAATGACAGTTTAAAAACTATGAAAAAATCCAGGAATACGCCAATACACGCAACGTAAATGCTCAACAACACCCCCTAAAAAGGGCATACACTAAAAATAGCTTAAAAAAAAAAAAAAAATAGTAAAGGGGGCGGGGTGTAGAAGAGGGAAAATTCATATCGGCCGTATCCCACCTTGGTAAACTGGGCGCAGCCACGCAACAACTCGTGGGGGCGTTGGTGGAGGGCTCAGCCTTGAAAGCATATATACACACACGCCAGAGAGTCAAAGTTTCCCGCCGGGCTGCTCTCTCTTCTATACTTCCCCCCCCCCCAACCTTTTCACCTTCTCGTTTTCGTGACCCTCGGCTCCCTTAACACTTATCTCGATGACGATTCGTCTTCGTTTGATCGCGAAGACACCTTTACGACTCGCGCGAGTGACCTTGGAGAGAGAGAGAGAGCTTTTTGTCGGAAATAAGTCCAACGAGCGTGATTTACTTTCTCGCGCGCAGTTTTCGACCCCCGATTGATTCGAGGAAGTAAGCTTTGTACACGAATTCGCTTCCCTCGTAACTCATACATAAATTGCTGACAATTTGTTGCCACGAAGATTCTTACATTTTTTTTTTCTTTTTTTTTTTTCGAGGACTCAATCTATTTGAGACAGCCAACCACAATAATTTTTTAATACTTAACAATATTAATCAATAACATTGTCCATCAAAGTACTTAAATTTTCTTTGTTTCATCAAAATACATTTTTTTTTTTTTTTATATACGTACAAAAGTTTTATGGATCGCCATCAGATTGCTATCATAGAGTATTTTAAAAAAAAGTAAAGATTCTTTATAATCGATAATGTTCAATTAAACAGAAAAAGAAGTCGATTTCGTTCTGTACCGGTATCTTAGAACTAAATTCAAACAGACACAATCCTATGGTTTTATCGAAATCTATCATCAACGTTATCCCATCAATGTATCTAATTTTTTTTTAATGTTATCTTGATACCTACGTCTTTTTTTTTTTGTTTTTTTTGAGATCCTTAGTTTTTTCACCATACAAATACCCTATATCCTAAAACAAGGCTAAAAATCTGAAAAATCGATTTCTCAAAATCAATGAAAATCGAAATAAATTGAAAAATGATGATTAAAATATAATTTTTTTATTTTTAAGCCACAAGAGATGAGTATCCAAAAACAATAGGCCAAGAGGTTTATAAAAATCGGCCGAGGGAATTTGTGAAGCACGTACCTACACACGCATTTAGAAATTTTTACCAGAGAAATCGTTCCAATACGTGATTTTTCCTCCATTAAAAAAAAAATCCTAGCCGATCGAAAATTAAATAATTCAGAACCCACCAAACAAACGAGCCCATCCGAGGAAAAAAACACCAGTCATTTGTTCCTGCATAAAACAATGAACCATATCGAAAAGAAGAAAAAGCACACGCAGAGAAGGTATATAAATTAATCAGTGACTTTTACTGCCACCGCCCTCCTCCTTCTTCAGCACGGACAAATCGCTTGATTTATGTCGGACGCGAGGAGAGAGAGTAGAAAAAAAAAAAAAAAACCAAAGAAGACACGCGAAGCTCATCGTGACGAGTCGTAAATCACCAGTTCGCTTCCATATAGCCGATACATAAATCCCGCGCACGCACGCGAGCGTTTATCAATCATCGTCATCCAAAACTCGCCGCGCCCATTAAACAACGCCCCGAATTATGCACACGCTGATGACAGAAAAAAAAAAAAAAAAAAAAAAAAAAAAAAAAGAGATGGAAAATCATAGGTACCTCACCGTCAATCGTGCCGATTTACACGAATCCAGATTCGATTGCGCGGTACATACATATGCATCATCGTCAAAACACTCGCAGGTGACGGTGGTGATAAATCAACCAATTTGCGCATTAATCGGCCATTAGCTTTGATTTAATACATCACACACACACACACACCCCGAACGAGCTGCTCTTGTGTACATCCCTTTTGGCTCTACATACACTTATCTCTTCCGAGGGATACACAAGTGCCGAGTCATCTCTTACTGCCCTCCCCTTCTCGAATAATCACCCCATAAACTTGCACACCCATCGCATAACATAGAGTTTTTACGATAAAAACAAAAAAAAAAAAAAAACACCTTTTCAATAGCACCACCCCCATTGTTCGATAAATGATGTATATGTCATGTGGACGCGTTCGTGCGCCTATAATGAGTTTCCTCTGTGTGGGTGTATATACATATAATACCTACCCCTTTCCGTGTCGTCTATGACGTCCCGACAGTCGAGTCGTCATCGTCACCATCATCGCTTATACGCACTTACGCCTGCCCACGTATGTACGTGCAGTCTGTAGTTATGAACATCGCCAACCCTTGAGAAGTGGGTCACGGTGGATATGAACGCCCCGTTGAGCGGCACACTGTCTATCAGCGGAGGCCCCTCTTTTTTTTCCCCCTCGTGTACTATATTTTCATTGTTCTCTTGGCTATTACTCCGCTTTTATCTCGATCGTGCCCAATGTCGGCATTGGGGAAGGGGGACTGCGAGTACATACTTACTCCTTTTTATCATCACTTGTCGGGCAGTCGATCTTTGACTCATCCTTCCTCCGCGACCCTCTATGTATTATTACGCTTATCTCTCTTTGTAACATTATTATCATGGGGATGGATGGTAGAGTGAAGTGGAGGGACGCGTTGATAATTATGATGTTTATTTCGAAGCGTTATTAACCATTGACAAGCGACATCGATGAGCGCCAAAGTGACAAACAGTGCAATCGGACCCAATGGTAATGACATTTCATCCTCATCTTAGAAACGATTGTGGACTCAAGAGTTATCATGTTGGATAAAACGACTAGAGTACGCGTGGTTGCAAGATGACATTAAGTGAAAAATAAGAATTTTCAAGGTGCGATGGAATAAAGGTTTTGCAAAAGAAAAAAAAAAGGCAGTGTACAAACTGCGTGATTTATGCTCACACCGACTTGTGAATCTATTATTTAATTCATTTTCAAATGCTTTGAAAGAAAATTAAAAGTTTCTTGGACAAAGCCCAGTTTATTTGTCACTGTTCACAATGAAATATATTTTAAAAATCAAAAGATTTCAATACTTTGACTATTTTTTCTTTAAACTGTAAAGCATTGTTTTTGCTGGGTTGAAAAAGTTTATATTTTTAGGGCAACAATGTATTAAATTTTTAGGAAAAATCATACTCCAATGAAATTGGAAAATTCACCGAAGTTAAACAATGAAAATCATATTGCCACTGATGCATGTAAACTTGAATACAGAAAAAAGAGATGATTCGAGCAATATTATTTCATCGTAAAATCTTCATCCGTGAAATTCAAGGTCGTAACCTTCGCCACGTGAGAAAGAGAATCAACTCTGATTGAACGAATGCCACGTAGGTAAGTATAGGCGTGCGTCCATATTCTCCAAAAATGGTATTTCAAAGGACACGAGATTCAAATTAAAACTGGCGCAATTAGAACTTTCCCGACGAGCTGCGTAATATAGGGGCTTATTGAAACAAAGTTTTTAGATTCAAGTTGTTATTACCTACGCATCGCATTTCCATATATATTTATAACATGTTCCTTTTAGGCACGAAAATTTCATACCCCCGTATAGATAAAAAAAATTACGAACAAAGTTTCGCTGGAATTTCTACGTTCGTTGGAATAACGAATATTTCAACCCAATTCGCCTGTTGGAAAATATAATGGTAACTCTCTCCGTCCTTACTGTAACAATCGTGCCTCGCATACTTTATACCTCATTTTCTATAAAAATGTATACATTTTGAACCAAATATGGTATTTAAACTTGGCATACAGCCCATAAGCTGTAAATTGCAGAATAACAAGAAATTTTTGTATTTTTCCTTCGGAGCACTAAACAAACGATTTTCTTCGCTACGTTATTATGATAAAAAGCCTTGACCATGTGATAAGTAAAAATCAACATAATATATATGCATGGTAATACAAACATCGGCGATTGTCAACCTCATTCATTGTACCATGTATATAGTACGAGCACACGATAGCTGTTATTATCGCTCCATGTAATACACAATATGACGGTATATGCCCGAGTATATTTTTCAAGGGACGAGATCGGGTGTGTAGATACTTGGTGTGGTTTGCATAATTCGGCGGGACTCGAGCGACACTCGCGTGATTTTACAACTTTATCATCGCCCGAGAATTCGAAATTCAAAGCATTTTTCTCACATCACTTTCAAAAAAGACGGCTCGCGTCGAAACGCTGTATGAGGTAGGGGGGGAAAAAAAAAAAATACTTTTCTTCACTCTCAAGTGGGGGCCGACCCTTTCTCAAGCTCGCCTTTGAGGGAGACGAAATAAAAGAAAAGCCTTTGGACGCATACGTTCGAATTTCCAGAACCGCACAAATAAAAAAGGGGAAAAAAAGCACCAACGTGATTTCGTTCTTATTATATTTCCCCTCCAGTTCTTTTTTTTTTTTTTGCTTTTCATCATACACTCCTCAGCTGAATCCCTGCAATGAAAAAAAAAAAAAAAAGCTCAACTGACCTGCTTGAATCCTCGATACATGACGCGTATCTCGTGCCTGGAGAACTTGGTCTGCCTGAGTAGTTCCTCGAGGGCGACGGGCCGATGCGTCTGCTGCCGAGCCCTGGCGCTCTCGAACTCGAACAGCACGTCCTCGGGCCCCGGCGAGTCTGGTGGCGTGGCCATGGTACGCACTCACCGCCACTGCTCACAACTCTGTCTCACGGGCCAGTACCTCTCGGTTGCTGCCTGTGTGTATAACCTCTAAACACCCAACACCGGCCGCCGCGACGAGACACTTGTGTTATACCGGCGGCTGCGACCACCCGCTCTCTCCATTGCTAGCGACTTTTCGACACACGACCCTCATCGTGTCCACTTGTACCTGAAAATACCATGGGGACGACGATGAGAAGGTGATTTGCTTTTCGAAGAGGAGGATATCCTTTGAATATTTCATCGCTTGTGTGCTCTCGCGTGTTTGCGCCTAATGAGCAGCCAATTACTTTAAGCGACCGGGCGCCCATTTGGGGCGAAGCAGTTGTGTATATTATATATACGTATTTCAGGTTTTAAAGAAAAAAAAAAAAAGACGTTCTTTAATTAACGAACAAAGTGTTTTAATTGCCGGGAGAAAGGAGAGGACGAAAATAAAAACGCAGTCACTTGAAAGAAGAAAAAAAGAGGGTAGGGGGAGAAAGTGTGTTAAGAGCAGGTTAGCCGTTTTGCCGGGAGGAAATATTAGAAAAGCACTTTCGAGACACGCGCACGCATGTACACGTCAGCGAAAAACTCGAGTTCGCTCATGATACCGCTCGTTACAAGTCTTATACCGTGGAAACAAAAAATTTTACGATAAAGAATACGCGGGTTCTTTTGCTTCTGTCCGTTTAAATAAAATGTACCATTCAAACCCTCTGATGCACGACGCGTCCGACCAAACTCGGCCTTTACCTACTTACAGAAAGAAAAACTTGACGAACCGGCACCCCACTCCACAATATGATACCCATATCAGCCATTCAAGCATAAAGGCAAAAAAGCCTCAATCAAATTTCCCATTGGCAATCACGTACACACTTACACAAGGGGGCAAAAACCCCATAAGCAGAAAACACAAATAATGACCCAACAACGGTGACGGAATATCCAAGGATGGGAGCCACACTTTGCAATGACAACAAAACCAGATAGTCGGAACTGTAAATTTAAAAGCCGCTGCCGGCGGGGAATGGAAACGCGGAGGGGAAGAAAGGAGCCTCATCGTCACCCTCGCGCTGACGTCCTCTCTCTCCCTTTTCCCCATTGCGCGCGCACTCCTTTCATCGACGCTATACACCACTTTCCCGCACCCGAGTCCTCCAGGAGTCAAAGCGTCACGGTGATGGTGTACATACGGTTGTTGTTGTTTTTTTTTTTTTTTTTTTAAATACACAAAATAGAGAGCGTGCAAAACGGGAGACGCGCTACTTTTGTAACCGGACTTCACGTGCAGAGCAGCTGCCGGCGGCCTGCACCATAACACCCGATCGATCTATTGGCTCCTCGTGAGAACTCGATGCATTCACGAGTACCCCGAGATCTCTGTCGTTTTAAGCGTTCCCTACCCGCGTTTAGGGTGGAGCTTTTGTTACCGTCCTCCTCCTACGCCCCAATAGAGAGAGGCACCTCGTCAGTAAGCCAAGTACCTTTTACTCTCCCGACGATCCCTCGTCATGGGGAGAACACGGAGCAGCCCATACAGTGATATGTTTGCCTTAGGTAATTAAGAGTATATACGCACAAGGGTTGTCGGAGGACGATGGGAGGTGAGGGTGCTGCACACGACAAAACAAACAATGGGAAAACACGGTCCGAAGGGCAGGGGGGGGGGGTGGGAGTTACTGGGATATTGTACACTCTTTTAGCGCATAGCTGTACAAGTGAAGGTGCCAACGACGACGACGCGACTCTTGTGCCTCCGACGACGACGAGGACGAGTCGCTCACTGGCGGGTGTTGTGACTCGCTTCGATTTGCTCCTATCTCCGCGCTGTGTGTGTTGTTGGCTCGCGGGGCGAAAGCACCCACTTTCCCGAGAGAGGGAGGGTGCGTGGATATATGGGTGACGGCGCGCGCTTTTCTCTCTCGGGGGGGTGAGCGTGTGTGTGGACAGTTGCGTCCCGCTGCGGAGCTTTACCGAGGGTTTTTTTGTAAACATTTTTAGGTGCAGGCTTCCAATGTTGTTTGGGATTTATTTCTACTCAACGCTGTTTTTCGAGAGTATCAATTGACGAATTGTTGTTTAAGATAAATATACGTTGCATCGAGAGCACGTCAACTTGGGGGGGCACACCCTTTTTTGACGACAACCGATACGGCAGATGTTCTGTTCTATCGATGCACGATAAGTACGTGCTCCCTTTTGAATTGAAATCAATGAAATCCCCCCCCTTCGTCCACCGGAGCTCCAGTTTTTACGATAGTCGTCTGCAAAGTTGCAAGCTCTACATTTTTTTTTTTAGTAATTTGTGACAGTAATGCAAATAAATTAAGTTCAAGTATTATCATTCATCGGTTGAGGATGCATTTCTTACCAAATGCTCGTGTAATTGGCGACAAAACTGTTAGCTTTCTTCGAGGATTAAACTTAAGTAGAGGTTAGTTTTTGCGCTTTCAATTTCTGTATTGTATACCTGCACGATTGTAATTGTTATTATAATATTACAGCGAGTATTTTTGCTTCTCACCCGAAATTGGAGCATACTGTAGCTGAGGAGTCTGATCAAGTACGTAAAGGTTTTTTAATTTGTTAATACCGATGGCACGATGATAGTTTTGATGATTACAAATTTGTTCTTGCAGCCAATAGATTTGATAAATCCGTTCGAGAAGGAGAAAAAACAGTGCATTTTGTGCAAATACAACATCGAGCCCAATTATAAAAATGTGAGGTTGCTTTCGCAGTTCCAGAGTAATTTCACGGGTAGAATTTACGGAAGGCACATCACAGGGTTGTGTAAGAGTAAACAGGAGAAGGTAGAAAAAGAGATCTTGAAAGCTCAACATGCAGGTATATAAATTAACTATGCATACTATAATCTGTGTGTGTCGCATTCTCCTTTGATATGAAACTTGAATCATTTTCTAGGTTTCATGCCAATATATAACAAAGAGATCAATTACGTGAACGATCCCAAGATATTTGACATAGACAATCCATTCAAACCACACAAATATTAGTCATTTCGTATTTGTCTTACTGCTTACTTTTGTAAATATTGTTTTATTATTGTAAAAAGTCTTGTTCGAAAGATTCTTAATAATAAAAAAAGAAGAATTTTCTAAATACTTTGACTGCTTATTTTTAATTGATTTTTCAACTAACGCAAGATGGCGTGTTGGTGCGACCAACCGCGGTTGCGACGCGCGACGCATTTGACTTAAAAACGGGCGTTTGTTGTGGTTTTCGTCGGGTACCGGGTAACGACGGCACAACGCCGAGAGAGCACGACCGAGGAATGCAAAAATGCTGGACGACGCCGAGTTGTTTACCGAACTGTGCGATAAGCACGGTCTGCTGCCCGAACCGGACATCATTGAGGCTGTGAAACTTAGCTGGTGAGGTTTTTTATTTTGCGAATTTTCACCGCCGAAATTTCAAACATCCTCCCTAGCAACCACAACTCCTCCCGGTAATGTCAAATTTACTAAATTTCCTTGTACGCGCATGACAATGTTTTTCAGCTCCACCGGGGAATTAAGACTTTCCCACACTTCCATAATAGCCGGGCTCTGCGAAGTCATAGCCCAAGTCCTGTCCTCCAGTTCGACGATAAAACTCGTGGATCTCAGCGACTGCATGTTGCTCGCCAAAGGATTGAGTTGCATATTCAAGGCACTGCGCCAAGGATCAAGCGTCACCTGCTTGTATCTAAAAGGCAACAACATAAGTGGGCCTCTGGTCGAGCAGTTGGGCCAAGTGTTATCTTCCAACAATACTCTGAAAGTCATGCACATAGAGTGGAACAATTTGGGATCGCAGGTTGATTCATTTGCCAAATTTTGCGTTGGTCTGTCGAAAAATCATCACATCGAAGAGCTAGATCTTAGGTACAATCAGATATCGACGCTGTGCGCGGATCATTTTTCTACAGCTCTGAGGCAGAACAAGAGCTTGAAGAAACTTGATCTGGCGTGGAACTCTTTGGGTAAACGTTTTCCAGTATTTTGTAACGAAAAATCGTTTTTACTCTTGTAAATAAAAAAATTTTGAATCGAAGGTATGAGCGGTGGACAGAAAATCCTGCAAGGCGTGCAGCACAACCGATTTCTAGTCTCGTTGAATCTCAAGGGTAACTGCGTACCGAGTGAAATTCACTCGGCCATCAAGGATCGCATTGCGGAAAACCAAAAGAGACAGTTGTTGTGCGAAACTCCCGTTTTTCAGATTCCCGCGATACCAAACTCCACGTCCACGGAAGAGGACGACCGCGGGACGCAAGTGAAACTGAGGTCGCGCAAAAAAAAGAAAAAACGCGAAAGGTCCAAGACACCCATGGAGGACCTCAGGGACAGTCCGCTTGGCGATTCAGGAAACGAGGGCGTCCCGAAGAAACCGAGCAAAGACAGCGAGCACGAGGTGCGCCCGGAGATCGCCGAGAAGATCCAAGCGCTCGATCGGATCATACAAGAGAGGGCAGCCAGTATGGATCTCCTGCAAACTGAACTGGTATCCAAGGAGGACGAGCTCAAGTCGATACATTCCGAAAACGAGAAACTCAAGACTGAAATCCAAAAGCTGAAGGAGGAAAAAGAAGTGGCCCTGGAGGAGAAGGTGAAAGAGCTGGAGGACGTGAAAAGGGCACATGCCAAGGCAGAGGGCAGCTGGAACGAGTCGTACAAAGAATTAGAGGAGGCGCAGCGGAACACCGCCAGACTGAGACAGGAGGCCGAAGCCAAAAATCGCAACTACGAGAAGGAACTGCGGAAAGTCAGCTCGGAAGTTCAGATGCTCAAAGAAAAGTACGCCTCCACCGTGCAGAGCCACGAGGACGTGCTGTCCGATTTCAAGGTCGAGACTCACCGCCTGAAGCGAGACGTCCAGGAAAGGGAAAACAAGTACCGGATAGAAACGAACGCTCTGAAGGAGTCCTTGAAAGAGACCACTGAAGCACTGGAAAAGTGTCAAGAGCAGCTGCAAAAGCTGAGGAACGAGCTGCGGGAGTCCGTTGAGGTGCAGGGGAGGCTGAAAATGAAGGCCGACGAGGCAGAGAGGTTCGCCAGTCGGACCCTGAGGATCGAGGAGGCGCTGAACAGGTCGAAGGAGGAGAAAGAGAAGCTGGAGGAGAAGCTGCAGGAGTCGAGGCGTTCGGTGGCCCAACTGCAGAAGCAGATGATCAAGGTGCAGGAGGAGTCGCTGGAGCCGCAAAAGAGGTACGAGGCTCTGAAGCTCGAGCTGCTCATAGAAAGGGAGAGATCGGCCGCGCTGAAGATTGAACTACAGGACGAAAGGGCCAGGATGAAGGAGCAGACCGAGCAGCTGCAGAAGATGCTCGGACAGATAAATGGATTGTATGCGCAGCTTAGCGAAGTTCAGGCCTGCCATGCGGAAGTACTGAGGGTCAAGGATGCTGAGATTGAGAAGCTAAAAGGTGTCGTGGGACAGAAGACAAGAGAGTTGGATGACTACAAGTGAGTGATTTCCTTGGTTTTTTTTTTTTTTTTTTTTTTTAGGACTGCTTACATGTAATTTGGAATTTGTTGTAGGTCTGAGCAAGTACATAGGGCACATCAGTTTCAGGCTGCAGTGAGTAAGTACTTTGGGACATTTGGAACGAATTGACAAAGAGTTGAGGGTCTTTTTTTGAAGGATGCACAAATGGAAAAAAAAAAAAAAAATAGTTGTACATATGAAAATTTTGGTAATGTATTTGAAAAATACATGTTGTAAGTTAACAGTTTTTAAATGTTAAATGCTGTTTGTAATTAAATGATTTTTCTTATCGAGAAAGAATGGATGGATAAAAAATTATACAGACGACTTATTTGTATATAATAAATAATTTCTTTAATAATTTACCTCGTTTTATACACGTCATTATTAAAGTACAATATTCATCGAAAGAACCGACATCGTGTTTCACGGAATCGCAAAAACTTTTGTCGATTTTCATTCGATCAAAACTGGCAGTTTTACGGCCCGATCAGTCTCTCATCGTATGGTCCGGCTTATAAAATAGCCAGCGCTAGCGCAAAAATATATATAATTCACCTTAGCACGCTTTTATTCTTAAACTCTAATATTTTACAAATTGTTTTTTTTTTTTTTTCTTTTTTTTCGTGAAAAACTTAAAAATAATATTTATATAGGGGGAATCAGGAAGAAAGGAAAATGAAAATATTTTTGAATTAATTACAGACGCGGTTCATTAGGTAATACCTGAACGCGAAGTTTTATGATGTACAGACAATCAACTTAAGATAGCTCTTATTGTCTCTAATATAGAGACAACAAAATTCAATTTAACTAATATACTACAAATCAATTTATATACGACACATATACATACATACATGACACGCACAAATTTCCATGAATTTTATACATAAATTTTCTATTTATAAGGAAATAAGCGACGAAGAGAACGTAATATCAATTGATTGAACGTTTGGAATTTCTCAGTACATCGTAATATTCGAAACAAATAATTTACGATGTATCCAAAGCCACAAGGTAAAATATTTTTGAAAGAAAATCTTATCGAAATAATTACATTACAATCAAATTATTGTATTAATGAATTTTTGTTTAACAAAAGTATCAATTAAAAAGATGAAATTTTATTTACAATTGCCTAATCTTGAGCTTTACAAGAAATAAAAATATAGTTAAATACAGCTTTTTTGGATTTTGAACAATTTTAATCAATTTTGTTATTTGGTATTAATTTTTTTCAATTTTGCATTTAAATACTTAAATGTATTTTTAAAGAGTTAATTGATCAATGATAAAAAACCTGCCTAAATTCATACTGTAATTTTTTTTTTTTTTTTTTTTTTTTTTTTTTTTTTTTTTTTTTTTTTTTTTTTTCATGTCAATTAATTGAATTTTTTCATCCGTGATGTATAGCTACAGGACTTAAATTGTTCTCTTCAAATGAATCAACATTCATTAAAAAGCAATTAAAACAACTGCCTCTCGTTACGAATTTCGTAAATTATCTATCTACAGCCAATTAGTACACGCTCAGTACACTAATGTATTCGTTAGGAGAAAAGTTAAAGTTCATTTAGATAATAGTAGAAACAAACAAAATTTTTGCTAATCTAGTATTAAGGTTGTATAATTATACAAATACTGAACAGTTCTATACCGTAAACTTTGCATGTTCTTTCTCCAAACAAACGATTTGTAATAAAAAAAAAAAAAGAAAAAAAAATCATACAACAGACGATTGGCAAAAAAATCACGAAACATTTGATCAACTAGTAAAAGTTAAATTTTTTACACCTCTCGACAAAGCAATCAATCACAATTTACAGTAACAAAATTATTATGTTTTCATAAGACTAGTCTATTAAATGATTGAAAATGGTATGCTTACTAAGTCATGTATGATCATTTTCAACAAAAAATACACCGGACAGAGCGCTTGCGAATCGAAAAGCAATAAAATGTAATATACTCAGACGACAGAACGAAAGCTTCAGTCATCTGATCACCCTTTTACGTACGATTTCTCAGCCTTCCCATCAATCACACCGATTCATCGTGAATGAATAAAACGAACTTAAAAAAAAAAAATGCTCCAATACTAATCACGTAGTTAAAAAGCGGTCGTGTGATGAAAATTACACGCCGATATGCAGAAATCATTGGAAGGGCCCGTCAAAACGGGTAAGAGGAAAACTGTACATGGTCCATGTATACGATTGCTCAATTCAGAAACTACCATCCTAAGTATTCGGTTCGCTCGAAAGCAAACAAAACTCACTGCTCCTGTCCATTATAATTATCATCATCATCATTGTTACATAGAATACGGGTACTCTGCGAGATAGTTTTTGATGAGAGGCGGCAGGCGTTCCTTCTCCTTTTCGAGTCCAGCCCGATTGACGGCGATGCGAGCGAGGTGGGCGAGCGAGCGCACCTTCTTCAGCAGCGGATCCGACAGGTAGATCTGCGAGTAGATGTGGCCGGTGTAATCCACCCAGACCTCGCGCCTGTCCGGGTCGAATTGTTTCGAGAACTCGACGTAGTACTCGATCATCTTGATGGGACAGTCGAAGAGCGGCATCGTCATGGCCAAACGAGGCTCCGCGTCCAGCCTGAACTTGCCCATGAAGTAAAACACCCGTACGGACGTTGGTCCTCGCGCCGTCTGCACCGACACGGCAAAGGTATACCTAAACGAGCAAATTCAAACATTAGCACTCTCATCCGATTTTCATATATAACATATATTTTTTGATCAGCGTAAATTATACCTGCTGTCGGAGCTATCCCTCATGAGCCACGTGCCAACGGGCGAGTTTTTCAACAGATCCTCGCTCTGTTGCCAGCTGATGCCCTCGTAGTACCAGCCACTGGCCTGCAACAGCTTTCTGACCTCCGCCAACCTCGCGTGGTCTTTTTCGAGTAAAAAGACATTGGTCGGGCCGTTGACGAAGCCCCAAGGGCAGGGCGCCAACCACGAGAGAGGCGTACTCGGTTGTTGTGGTTGCTGCTGTCGCTGCTCTTCCCTGTGATTGTCGAACGACAAGAGACCGTCGCCGCCGTCAACGAGGTTGATGTTGACGATACCGCCGCCGTTGAGGTTGTTGCGTGGCCTCAGCGGCTGCTCTACCAGCAGACCGTTGGCGCTACCGACTCTTTCTATCACCGGCGAGGCTGTCGTCGTCGTGGTTGTCGTTATGTTGAGGGTACAGCTATTCGTCGACGAGGGCAGGCGCACCGTTGCGTTCACCTGAATACGCACGTCCCCTGTAACGCAATAAATAACAATTTATCAATTCTGACAAACGACTCATGAAATGTTTCCACTTACATATTATTGTTGTTTATCGCATTGTCTCTTAAATTACCAATTTTACATGGAAAAAAGTGGAATATACGTAAATTTGGTCGCAAGTGCGTAAACAAGCGCGGTTCATGGTATAAAGTATGATTTCACTTTTATATTATTCTTGTTTATCGCATTCCACTTAAATTACTAATTTTTTCGTGGAAAAAAAAGTGGCTTTTACGGTAAATTTTGTCCCAAGTACGTAAACAAGCACGGTTCATGGTAAAAAGTATGTTTCCACTTACATTCATTTGTTTATCGCATTGTCTCTCAAATTACCAATTTTACGTGGAAAAAAAAAAAGTGGAATTTACGGTAAATTTGGTAGCAAGTGTGTAAACAGGCGCGATTCATGGTAAGAAATACCGTTACTTGTCCGTGGGGAGGGAGCGCGAGTTTCGTGGAAAATCGATTTCCCGGCATCCGTGATGGAACTTTGTTCCCTATCAGAGATTGTTAAGGATTCCAGGAAGAATTTAATTTGATTGCCGATACCTGAGGGCACGTACACAGGCTCCATAGTTTCCGTATTAATGACGCGGGCTACTATCTCTCGACTCGAAATTCACTTGACAGATATGAAGCTCCCATACATGAGAAATTACTATGTGCACTCGGCGCGTATTTCGCATTACGACAAATATGAGCGCGTACTGGCATATATTTTTTTCTCGGCAAGCTGTTGAAACGACGTACGGACTGCGTAAACAACTTTTTTCAACTTCATTCAGTTGCGTTATCCACGGCTTTGTACGTGCTATTGACACAAATTCAACGAGGCTTGGATAACGCCGATCCGAACGATGTACTTTGACGTGGTAGAATTACCGACGATGATAATAAAAAAAAAAAAACAACAACATCTCACCTGAATACTTGTCGGTTTCCATATTACAGCTAGGCTCGCCGGTTCCGTTGTTCTTGCGACAGCAACCGGCCAACCTGTGATTCTCCGACACCAGGCACTGGTCGTTACCGCTACTTTGACTACAGCAATTTGATTTTTGGGACTTTTGCGTCGAGCCGGACACCATGTCCTCGTCGTCGCTGTAGCAGCACCGGCAGTAGCAGCAACACTTGCTCTCGCAGCTCTTGCGTTTCGGCTGAGCCGACGTGACATTCTGCGTCGGCAATGTTTTGCCTAGCGGGTCCGGAAACGCGTCTGTCCTGCAAAAACAAGGGTCCTCGTCAAAAAGCAGTTCTCAACAAGCGGAACATCCAAGAAAAAAAAAAAAAAAAAAAAATATCTTCAAACAAACCTCGCCGGTTGCTGCTGGGCGTCAAAGTTCGTGCTGGTGGACCTCGAGTGGCTCTTTTGGAACTGGGCGGCCTGCTCGAAGCTCTTCCTGAGCTGTTCCTCGCTTATGAGCATAGGCCCGTCCCACGAGGGGCTACCCTCCTCCGCGGCGGAGGACTGTTCCTCCGGTTTCTTCTGCACGAGGCAACCACCGCTCGACAGCGTCGATTTCACCTCGACCCTCGGCACCGGCAACACGTCCGCGCTGCTCTTGTTTTGTATCAAACACCCGCCCGACTGGATGCCGCACTGCGTGCTTATCGTCACCTGCAAAACAAAAAAAAGCATACGATTCAATGTTTGCGATCACACACCCGTTGAAAGAATCATTATGATCGTTATAGTGTATTATACACACCTGCTGCTGTTTGCCGGAAAAATCGGTAGTCGCGTTGACGTAGAGCAGGCCGTTGGTGGGGTCATTGTTGAATTTGTCGGCGAACCCGTCGAAGGTGAAACTCGTCGACGAGGTGGCGACGTTGTTAGCGGTCGGGCCGGTACAGCATCCCGGCGCGGGAAATCGGTGCCTACAGTTAGGACAGAGTACCGTCAGCATTGCGGCGACTCGCGGGGACTCTCGTCTCGGCTACGTGCAGCATAACCATCAGCCGGTCAACTGCGTCCTCTCTCTCTCGCTGTCTCTCTGTGTTGGAAAGACGGTAAAATTATAGATGAGTATATTTTCGAGTGGCACCGAGTGCGGACTTTTTCTTAAAAACTCATTACGTGTGTGTCGCTCCGAGCATGGGAGGAGAAAAAAATGCTCCGTTATATTCGTCGGCCGGTGTTATCGAAAGCGCGATAATAATAACACTCGTCGGTGGCTACTCCAGCTTATATATAGCTTTACGTATAGATAAAAGTGCGTGATCGGACGTGTTACCTAATTCGTGGTATGTAGCGTACGCGTAGCGCGTAGTGGGGAATTTGGTTTTAATGAGACGCAACGCTTGCGTTTGGCCGTGAGTGTTTGCCGATTCGTGGAAACTATCAACATATAAATACTTATCGGCTCTTCTGATGAAATTTGGCGCGACAGAAACGAATTCGAGAACGAATTAGTGTGTTTGATATGGATTTTTTTTTTTTTTTTATTTTTACGCTTAGGCACGACTTTGGGGTTTTTCGATGTTACAATCTGTTTTTTTTTTTTTTCTTTTTTAATGGCTTTACCGGTAATGACATTAAAAATAAAAATGTACGGTGATGAGTACTCTATTGAAGAACAAAAAAAACCCACGTGGTAAAACTATTAGGTAATCCAAGACGTTTTTCGAATACCATGTGGATATTTTTGAAAAATATTATCAGGTATTTTTTGAAGAACCACACATTATTGGTTTATATCAGTAGAGTACGAGGGCAAAAACCAGCGATGTATTGTAAATTATTTAATTTTTCGTGTCCCAATTCGTAGCGGGACAAGAAATTTGTAAAAAGCTATAGATAAGATAAGATTGGCTGTTCAAACAGTGTACCGGGAAGTTGCGCGGTATTTTTTGACTTTTGGAGCGCGTACTAAAAAAGAAAAAAAAAAAGAAATTTCGAATCGAGCTCTTCTATAATTACGACCGAGGAAAATTTTTCATTTATCGATTGTTGTTTGTTTGCTCGTTCGTTATCTCCTACCGAGGTATCTATAGGCTCGCGAGAAAGGAAACCCGAGGAGAAAGAAAGACGAGCGCCCGTTTCCGATTCAAGGAAGCGCGCGAATGTGCATATATAAAACGATCGGCGTAACAAAAGCCGACGATGATATTGATGTTGTTGTTGAAAAATTGATAACATTATTATTGTATCGATGAAAAGAAGAAAAAAGAGTTACGAGACTCTTTTTTTTTTTTTTTTTTTTTTCATTGCACAGACGTAATTTTTATATTTCGTTTTATACGAGTGTGACGACGCAACAGTAGTGCAGGCGGTGATAAAAGGTCGCGTCGTCAATCAACATTATCGTGTCGCACATTAACGCCAAAGCCGGATGTTTTCCGCGAAGAAAACAACGACGAGGACGATTCTTCTGTCTAATAAATTCACCAGCCAATAATCGCGATAGTTGTGTTATCTCATTACCCACACGTGTCCGGAACAATATAGAGAAGAAGAAAAAAAAAAAGTGAGCTTAAGCCACACAACAGCTGCTCGGGGCGAAAATTCCCGGGAACATTTCCTTCCTTCCCCGGAGGGATTTTCGGTTAAAGGGTCGTTGATTCCTCGAAGCATTTTTCGTAATAGCCCCTACCCCCCCCCCCGTGCTCCAAAAGGGGCAATAATAACAAGGTCCGTTTGCTCGAGCCGAGCGCAGGTGCAAAGACAAAATTTCTCTGTTAAATTTGGCAATTTAATAATGTATACATACACCCAGCTGAATTGATGAATCGAGGCAACAAAAAAAGCGCGGCGAGCGAGTATACGTATATATATTTTGCAGCGTCCGTCGATGTACTCTGGCGCTTAATGAGATTCGGAGAAGCTCGCCTCGTTAACCGAGGGAGGTTTGTCAACAGTTTTCACTAATCGCCTCCTCCCTCCCCCCATAACTTGGAATCGTTTTCGATCTAATCTCCCTATATTCCACGGAATCGCGATTTTAACTAATATGACGAGGAGAAATTGATTTTTTTCCCCCTTTACTCTTCTTTCTCGGGTTTTTTTTTTTTTTTTTTTTTTTTTTTTTTTTTTTTTCNAAAGATTTCATCAGGACCCACAATCCATAGCGTTTGAAAAAAAAAAAAAAAAAATGTTTAATTAACTGCGCGCGTAAATATACATATATGAATGTAGGAGCGCGGCTTTGGAATTCGCAATGAATATTACATACACACGCGCGCGGCGCCGTTGAAATTTTTTCGCGGAACGATGGACGCCGATGGCTTCCAGCGAATAATATACATACACACACCTCCTACACGCGTCACGACGCCTCTGCTCACGTCGAAACTTTTCCTCGTTAGGGTTTTCGGGGAACCCTTTTAACATTGAACGCGTATACGGAGTCGACGCTAAATTATTTTTATTTTTTCGTGGAAACTGCGTTTGTGGCACAACCGAACGAACCTATGCGCGATCGGTTTGTCACTGAGAGACAAAATTATAAAAATTACTGTGCTATAATGGTAATCTGGTAGTGTTCGGTCATCCAGAGATATTTTACTATTTGAATAATAATTTTTAGCGTTTAGAACAGTAATTTTTACTGTTTGTACGATAGGAATTACTGCCCAGCAATTAAACGGTAAAAAATTAGGTTGGGAAAAGTAAATGACACCAGATTACCATTTTAGCACAGTAATTTTAACAATTTTTTTCCTTCAGTGTAGCTCGATTTATGAAAAAAAAAAAAAAAAAAAAAAAAAAAAAAAAAAAACACGTGCGAGGGTATTAAACGGTTTCGACACGAGAGGGAAAAATAATTGCTCTCCCCTCGGTGGGCTAATTGAAAAGAGCCATAACGAGCGGTGTATGTCGTGGTTCGCGAAAGTGATCGAGGAGGAGAAAGCTCGAGTTTTTCCGGGGAAGAATCGCCCACTTGGGCCTCCCAACGTAGCCGATCGCGTGTCGTTTCTAAAAAATAATAAACGAGAGATCGGCACGCGCTGCTTTGTTGTGCAGTTGTCCCGTCACGCTGGCGCTTGTGTACGCGGAAAGTGCACCGGACACACACGACACGAAAACTAATAAAAGTCGAGGAGGCACACTTTGTTTCCTCGAAAGGCCCGCGTTGCCTAGAAATGGCCAATTTAACGCCAGTCCCAGAAGAAGAGAAAATCCTCTCGCCCTAAAGGGACAGGAAACGCGCGTGTACACTGTAGAAACAAACGAAACAAGCTAAAATAGTGCAATTTTTTTTTTTCCATCCACGGTTGGATACCCACCGGTTTTTTTAACAATGTTTTTCTTGCTCTTCGGCGCGTAAAATCAGGCAAACGCATTTTCTCAAGATGTTTCTTCCAAGATCCATCTTTGAGAGCCTTGGGAAAATGTGTTTCTCAGCCCAAGGGAATGTTATGCATGTATACAATTCACCAGAGCCGCCCATACGATTTGAATGTGACTCGATCTGGTGGTGGTACATCGTCGAGAGGGAGAGAGAAAGTTCCGTAGGAATGCGGAAGTTGATTGGGTATAAGTGTACCGTTAAACGAAGCGATGTTTTTTTTCTTTTTTTTTTTTTTGGAGTTGCTTTAATTTTTTCACGCTCGTATACGCCTTGGGTTTTCCAAGAGACGTGGGCGGGGGAAAAAGAAGAAATCGACGAGAAAAACCTTTCCCCGAAAGATTCGACGTGTTTTGTGGAATATGGTCGTAACTCGCGCGAATTCGGGTCGAGAGCCATGTACAAAAGCTCGTCTCGAGCACAAAGGAATTCCCCCCTGTGTCCTTGCACCACAGCTGTGAAATTTGGACGCTGGGAGAGTTTTTTTTCGTAATCGCGATAATGGCACAATGGCACATTATCCCCAATCGGCGAAACCTTTTTTTTTTGTTTTTCGAACGCTCTGCCGCAAAGTTTATACATGACTACGTAACGCAAAGCCGATTATCCTCATCGGCGAATTGAGGTTTCCGAGAAGATGATACCGCGATACGATTGCCGATCTGTGGTAAACACGTTCTTGGCGTCTTTTTTCTTTTACTCGTAATGAATAATTGTAACGTAGGCGTCGAAAATGGGATTCCTCGCAATCCTGGGATGATTTTTGTGTACGTTGCTTTATTTTTGTCGGGCATAGCTGCAATTTTTTTCCATCGATACAACAAATGTGAACCAAGAGAGAGAGAGATAGAGCATTAACTTTCATCGTAGCAGCAGTGGATATACCTGTATGTGTATATGAGAAACGGTGCAACGAGCGAATAACGAACGAAGCAGCTGCGGCTATCTCCATCTCCCTCTTGCAGTGCTGTGTGCCTCAGAGGCACTGCCTCTCCGAAGGCGCGCGACCGCGAGAGAGAGAGAGAGAGAGCACACGGTGTGTGTATATAGAGCCGACGAGGAGGAGAGTCGGACGTCGTTGGGGCAATTCGCAGTATTCCCCCGAGTAGCCCGAAGCCGCGGGTTTCCGCGAAGCGTCCCGCCGGCGCTCTCTATATATACCCACCGCCGAGCTCGTGCCTCTCTCGCCATATACCCACACACACACAGGAGGCCGATCCCCCAAGTACATTTAGAAGTCCCGGCGAGAGAAATCCTCTCCCCGGAATTCTTTGGTTTTTAACATTATAATGTATGTATACGTGTACGTTCCTCCTCTAGTTTCACCGAACAATCGCCGGTTTTTCTCGATCCATCGCGTTTGCCTCCCGGAATTACATTCGTACACACAGCTTTTAATTGCAACGGTTCGGAGAAGCTACATGGTGTGTATCCCCCCCCCCCCCAACTGTTGCGCGAGAGCTTTTTTCTTTTTTTTTTCATGGCTGCCGTGAAATTGATTACGTAAAATATATGGTACGGAGAAAATCCAGTGCCGGAGAAAGTACCGGCTTACTCCGAAATCCTCATTTGTTTACAAAGCGTTCGATTATCGTTAACCGATCAAAAGTACGTTATATGATCGTTATCGTTGGAACACGAGCGATTTGCGTTTGCGGGAAAAAAATAATAATAATAATTTCCGAGATAATTTCTGTACAAAGTGC